CTGCATGTGTGAAGCCACCATAACCTAACGCCCAATTCCAACGGTCTTGTGTCTTGCCGTGCAGTCGTAACGTGTGTCAACTAGGCGAGTTGCTGATTCGTGACAAGTATCACTCTGTGTGATCGGATACCGATCAGCGTATCTTCGTACCATACACCCGAATTTCAATGTTTAAGTAATTAAATTTTCATGTAAGTTTAAAATACCCAGTAGGCCTATTCATCCCCAAAGTTTGTCATGCGTAACATGGGCTTTGCTTAAAAAACGCGCGTGGCCATACGAACATTATGCCTGGTCGCAAAAGCACAGCGTTGCCTACATCAGTGATATATGCATCAACGAATATTCTTCGTGCAAGGCGGCCTGCATGCGGCTGGGCGTTATACATGAGGAATATCCGTCACAATGGCGACACTTTCGTGCGCGAGTAGTGATGTAATGTGTCACGTGCTCCAATCCGCTCTGCGAATGCAGAGAGAGTTTATGTTTAACCGCCGGTTACTTTACACGAGTGGCAAAAAAAACGACGCGGAAACCATTGCTCGAATCGGAGCAAGCAAATCGACTGTGTACTGCCAACCAAGCAGACAATGTGGCGCCGTGTAAAATGCCAGCGTTAACTGCGGGTGGTCATGACCGCGTATAGATGACGTCTATGCACACGAACAACATTTTTTGGCTATATTTTGTACTTTTCAACAGTTTTTTTTTCAGAAAATTAGCATCGCCTGCTTTTGGGCAACAAATAATAACGACATCTATCTATCGATATATCTATATCTATTTATCTATCTATCTATAAATCTATGTATCTATGTATCTATTTATGTATTTATCTACCTATCTATGTATCTATCTATCTATCTATCTATCTATCTATCTATCTATCTATCTATCTATCTATCTATCTATCTATCTATCTATCTATCTATCTATCTATCTATCAATCTATCTATCTATCTATCTATCTATCTATCTATCTATCTATCTATCTATCTATCTATCTATCTATCTATCTATCTATCTATCAAGGCCGTACGCAGGAA